GACACTTGCCCAAGTTTAACATGTTCCAGGTATAAACAAGAATATAATCTCTTTAAGTATTCTTGATTCAAAAGTGTATAGATATACCATGGAGCTAAAGTTTTGAAAGTTATTTAAGGTGCCTAGATTATGTTAAGGGGACGAAGAAAGACCCGTTTATATGTGTTAGAAGGTTTGACGATCACTGTGGATACAACTGCAGCTTATGGTTCGATAAGCGGTGACTCAGGTAGAGTTGATTGTGATCGATTTGTTCATGGTGATTCGAACAGTAATATTAGGAAGTTTTCCAGTAGCTCTAGAGGTGCTAGTTGTGATCTTGATGATCACGTTGCTCATGGTGATTTGAACAGGTTTGATAACTCAAGTGGAGTTGGAAATGAAATGGTTATTCGAGCAGTCTTGGTGACTTGGTTGGAGCTGGAGGTGAATGGGAAGATTCAAGCAAGATTAGTGCACAAGGTAGTTATACTGGTAAGCAAGGTTTGAATTTAGTTCACAATTGCTGAGTATGCCCAGCAGGGCATACTGTACCTGGGAAGGACATGGTGGAAGAGTTGGAGAATGACTTGAAAAGCAAGGACTTAATTCCTTGATTTGAAATTTGTGTCAATGTGGAGTTTATTAGATTGTAACTCAAATTCCATGTGATTTGGAATTGTAGTTCATGAAAGAAGCCTAGACAATTTTTAGTTTAGAAATTCAGATAGATAAGGGATCAAATTTTGCCATGCATTGAGAGTTTGATTTGGATACAGACTTTTGAATTAAGACTACTTCATCCATAACTCCAAGATTTGGCTCGTATAAATACTCCACAAGGTGTATGCTCTTCGTAGACTTGACCATTAAATCATTGTTGTATACATTCGAAATTTAAGAGGATTGTTTAGATTTAGATTGAGAGAGTTAAATCTTGTAAAGACAATTTCAGTTTCTTGGAATAATAAATTTCACTCTTCCTTCACAAAAATTTTGTTTATTGTGTGATCTATTATTTTCATATTGCCCATACTTTCTCGTACTTTAATTATTTGGCCGAATTCTCAACAAATTGATATCAGAGCTATTCCGCTTTCAAGTGATTTCAGGTCTGGTTCAGATCATAACATTTTGGTTATATAAGAACCATCGCGTAATATTCATCTGGTAATGATTTCTTGTCTATAGATAGCCATAAACTTTATTAAACATTGCACCGATTCTCCAAAATTCTGTAGTTGTGAGTAATGAATCAAATGAATAACAACAATAGTAGGAGTCCTAAGAATTGCATTATGGAGCTCCAAATATCTTCGACGAAGAAATACTAGGATCTACCATGGAGAAACCTATTATCATAGAAGACGATTTTATGATCCTTACAGAGGTCAAATTGCTCCGGTTCCATTTCTAAATTGGAGTCACCACCTCCTTGCGACTTCAATTGTAGTAGTCGTCCCAATACCGAACATAATGGAAACAATATGTTGTGGGTTGATTTCAATGATCGAATGTTCAAAGAAGAATGCGAGAGCAAGAAAGAGGGTGAGCATTATGGGAAGGACTACGATGTTGTTTGTGACTGATGACGGGACAAAGGAGGATACATGAAAGAGGATTGTAGTTCTTCTAATGATGTTTGTGTCTTGATAAAAGTTAATGTTTTTTATTTTTTTCGTTGTCATTTTCTAATGATGTTTGTGTCTTGATAGAATTGGGTCAAAAGTTGATCCTATAAGATCCGATTAAGTGTAAAACGTGCTTATATTGATCATAATGATGTAATATCGTTTGCCATACCAATTCCAATCGTTTTTAGTTTTCTTCACGAAATCTCCCATTAAGATTCAATAGATCTCAAAGTAATTATCATACTTGAGAAACAAAATTAATGTCAGATTGACATCTAGAAACTATAGGGTTCCTGGAATCAACTCCACATATTTTGTCATTGTATGATGACATACCGTAATGTCGTTAATGAAAATGAGTGGTGTACTACGATACTAATTGTCATTGACCCGAAAAAATCGACCACAACATTCAAGAACAATTAATGCAAGAAATACATCTTCAGTACAACCTATTATAATTCAATGCATACCTACAAACATGAATATTCATTAAAAAGTACTACAATCCTTTCAACAACATTTACAAATTAGATTTATTGGCCTTCGTATTTTTGCTAGGATTTTTCTGAATTTACAAAAAAATCTTTATGGAATTAGTACAATGAGGCAATTGTCTTCTTGTGATTGGTTGTAGGGGTGTAAGCGGTCCGATTTTATCGATTTTTGACAGTTTTCAAATCAAACCGTTCAAAACGGTTTGAGAAAAACTCAAACCTAAACCTAACAGTTTGGTCCAATTTTAAACCGTCGATTTCGCCAAATATTTTTTTGTCCGTCTACTTTTATGTCATTAATTCATTGAATTTAATATATATTTATATCTCACTAAAAAAAATAAAAAAACTAAGCCCCTGTTTGAACCAAATTTTTGGGACAAAAAAATGAAAATTTGGACTGTTATTCCACAAGTCCAGCCGCCTTTGTTGACCTGCTATTTCATATGTGGGACCCAACCTCCTCTCCAATAGTCAATTTTCTCATTGTGATGATATGAAAATTATGGCTCAAACATGGGTTAAATATATCTACTATAAATTTAAATATCAACTAAATCAAAGTGAAATCACAATAAACTAAAACAAAGTTTTTTTTTCACCTTTTTTAGGCTAATGACAATACAATAACGTTACAATACAAGTCTAATAAACTAGATATAAGGTCCAAAAATATAATGATGTCCAACAAGATCTCGTGATCATCATATCTGAAAAAAAAGGATACTGATTAAACAAAAAGAAACCAACCACAATAATAAAGCAATTGTTTATAATATCTAAAGATAACAATTATACAAGTTTACGTTTGTATGATGTTACGAAACACATTTAATTTCAGATTCTTACCTTAGTTTGCTCCAAAAAATTATTAATCTTAAACTTTATTTGTAACAAATATTATCACCAAAGGTCTAGAATCTCTTTTTCTCCGATTTGATATAATGGACTTCGATTCAACTTTGAAGATACGTGAAAAATCTGAAAAATAAGTGTGTGGTGCCGATGACTCAAAACTGTGTTGGGCATCGATTGGAATTCATCTAAATTTTGAAGAGGAAAAAAGCTTTTGATAGATTATGTTAGTCTTGAAATTATTAAATAAATATGAGGATTATTGGATGATAATGATAATAATAATAATAATAATAATAATAATAATAATAATAATAATAATAATAATAATAATATATTTGTATTAGAAAATTAGGAATTGACAGAAATACTGACAAATGACAAAATTATTGAATTTTACATATTTGGATGAATTTTCAAAAAAAATCATTTTTTCATTTTTATATATTTTTTCGCCGGTCCAGTTTGGTTTTAAACCGCAATTAAAATTCTCAAACCTAAAGATCGGTTTGATTTGGGTCAAAATCATTTCATTGATCGGGTTCACATGGTACCAAATCGACAGTTTCTAAAATGCGATTTTGGTTCGATTTTTCAGTTTTGCAGTTTTTGCTTACAGTCCTAATTGGCTATTGTCAAAAAAGCCAAAAAACTGTTTTGGCAGCAGCTAATCACAGGGAGATAATTGTCTTTATGTATTAATTCTGTAAAGAAATTTTTGTAAGAGTGCATTTAATTGCAATATTTATCATGGAAAATGTCATTTTCATCCGAATTTATATTTTGTGTTGTTTGATTGATATTTTTTTCATTGAAAATATTTTGCTACTTTTGGTCACGTAACTATATTTTTCTCAAAAAAATGAAAATATTTTTTTTGAAGGGAATAAGTTTTTAAACAATTCACTCTCCTTTCTCTCTCATCCACCCACTCATTCTCTCTCTACCCACCAATAGGAAAATGGACAAATATAACATTTTTAGGTTGAAAATTAAATCAATCAAACACATTTAATTAATAATCTCCATATGAATAATTTATAGGCAATTCAATTGTCTAGGATTTATTTTATTTCCATCTAAATTCTATACTTGCACCCTAATTGTAGCATGTCACTTTTAGCTATGGACACCAAGATGAAATTAATTCTTTGCTCAACTATTTTCTCTGCTATGTTGTGTGTACCAAAACCTTAGAAGTGTTGTAATGTGACACCCTAATCTATATATTCTTTTAATATAATTTTTGGTTAATGACCTCTATACTGGCCTTTATTATATATGATGGGTATTGGGATATAAAATATTTCCTAACTTTTGAGTACTGTGTGTTTTCACCCATGCAAAAATTTCAGTTATTTTTTGAAGAGGGCAAAATTGTCAATTTGGTCCATATGAGCAAAAAATTTAGAATGCTATACTTAAAATGCACCACGGTTTTCAGTTAATTACAAAAACTCCCCTTATATGGGCTTGAAGTTCATTACAATCAATTAAAAATTTATCCAATTAATGAAATCTTTTCAGAGACGAATTTAGGAGGGCTGGGCTGTAGCCCTCCACACTCAGGCCCAAGAACTTTTTTTTAAGGTTATTTATTTATTTATTTTTGGATAAAAAATCAGTTTTTTATATGTAAATTAAAAAAAAAAATTCTGCTTAGTAGCTCGGTTTGAAATTTTATAGCCCAATCTTGGATCTAATCCTGGATCCGTCCCTGAATCCTTCTAAATGCAGAAATCATTGGAGACAGCTAAATTTTAACAGAATGCATTAGATGCACCCTGATTTTAATGAAATCAATAAAAATCTGAGTTAGAAACACTTAAATTTATAGACTTCAAAAATTTATTAAAATTTGAATTGAGGAAATACCCAATCTCCATTTTTTAGACTAGAAAATCAACTCTCATTTCTATATTATTATCGTGTGTTGCAAGTTTGGGATTATGTGGATTTTCATAATTTCTTTTGGCAAGACACATTCTTCGTTAAGAAATATATTCTCAATTAGGTCCTAAAATATTTACAAAAATTTCACAAAGATAAGATCACATAGCATTAACGAAGAAATCAACAATAATACAAGATTTGCCTCGACAACATTAATTAATAATAATATGCTGGATCCATTTCTCTAAATCTTCCTGTGAATCATTGCAAAAACTGGTGGTGTTAGGAATTCATAAGAACTTGCACATGTCCGAAATTCTAAAAGTTCAACTTTAGTCTGGTCCGAGAACTTTACAAGTTTGAAGCACACTTGGGGTACTCCACAACATAACTCTTGGAACATCAGTCTGAAACTATTCTCCTTTCACATGTCGTCGCCGGTTTTTGAAGACAACAAATCCGGATGACATCATCATTCCAGCCAACTAGCCAACAATAGCTCCATAAGTCACACAAATTGGCCATTCCTGCTCATAATGTCAATTTGTTTCACAAACCAGAAAAACTAAAAGTTACCAACCAAGACTCGTAATCTAGCTTAGAGTGGTAGTATTTAGCTAGATTTGTAGAAGAAAAGAATAGCCGAAAACATTATTTCCAAAACAAGGTAATCCACAAATAGGCAAAACTGCATCAAAGTTTGGCAAAGATTACAAAATTAGGACATCCTAATAACCAATGAACGTGAATAGTGAACCTAAAGAAACAGGCATCCATCTGATTTAATTTGCAATTTACTGTAAAGAGACATCAGCAGTTTTAAAAGAAGCAAACCATTGAACCATGCAAATCATTCTTTTCAACTTTGATTACCAAAGGAAAAAATAGTTGATGAAAGTGATTCAATAAAGAAAGCCAGATTTAAATTGCATCATAAATTGAACTTTAGCTGTTTGCAGAATGGAGTCCAGTGCCAGAAAAGGCAAAAAAACAAAATATAGAAACTCCTACAGGCAATCGATAAGAGAATAAAACAGAGCGTTTTCACACAATAGATCACAAAACATCCAGCAAGATCCTCAATATAATTTCAGGTCAATAGGACGAGTTCCATTTCAATGCTCTATACCTGCCAGGACCTTTCCCAATCAAGAGGCATAGGCCAAGCGCCAAACCAAGCTCCTATAGCAGCTCCATGTGCAGGCAAGCAGATCATATAATCTACAGATCCAATAGGCCTGGAAAAGGAAATTGTGAAACTCAAAACACCAGTGAGATTATAATAAGGGGTGTTAAAGCGCACAGATAATTTTTGAATCCAAAGCTCGAGAGATAAAACTACAAATATTAAATAAAAACAACAGGGAAAAGACACTCATGATAACCCCATTATCATGTCAGCAGCACTAGTTAGTAGTTTGGTTAGTTACATGAACTGAATGGAAGCAGATCATTCAATGGAAAGATGCACACAGTGGTGAGCTAACTATCTTACATTGTCTGAGCAAATATTCTATGCCAATCAGTCCATGAGGAGCCAAAAACAGAAGCTGCAGGGACAAACTGATAGAATGAAACATGGCAAAACATGAGAAAGGGAAAATAGAAATAAATATGTGGGAGTGATACACATGGTATCTGGCAAATTTGATTTCAGAATGTAGATTTTGTTTTAGAAACAAGATATTGACAAGCAGCTGTATTGTTTGGAGTTTAACCCATAACTATGTAAATTTATTCATAGTCATAAAGGATAAGCGTGAAAAAATAGAATATAAAGCATGCTACCTCAGAATGAAATTCTAAACTCGCTGTTGCTCTATTATTAATGGATAGAGAAGTTTTGCTACATATTAATGAACAAAGAGATACTTACTGTAACAACTGACATTAGGAGAGACCAATGAACAGTTCTTCTGAAGTGCCTGTATGCATTTAAAAAGGATAAATATCAGTAAATTTTATGCACTATAAATAGCAATATTAAGAGCAAGATTGAGTTCATCCAAACTTAATTCATTTAAGTGATTATATTAACAGAATCATAGTTGAGGACAGAGCTTTAGAATACGATGACTCTTCACTGTCATTACCCCCAAACCAAATATGGGTGCATTTTGGAAAACAAAAAAGTATATACTTGTCATCAGAGGGAAATAAATGTGCAGTACCAGATAATCATGGAAGGAGTTATTTTTTGCAATAGAATAAGATAGAACACAGCCATTTTTGTCCAACCTCAATTAAATGTTGTGTTCTCAAATTGGTATCAGAATCATATCACAAAATGGAAAAAGCAACCACAGCTAACAGTAATCACATACTGAAGACCAACAGGCGCCCCCAATACAATAGCTCCAAGTGCATTCACAATGGCCCCTACAAATTGAGAAAGAGACATCTCTTAGAATCAACATGGATAATACCGATGAAAGAAAATATTACATTCTCTATATAGCTCAAGGCTTAAATACAATGTCTGTCATTGAAAATTTGGCAGAACTATAGTTGCTGGCAGACTTATTGCTATATACAAATTTCCACTTCCTCAGAATGTGCCTCACACCACCAAATAGAGCTGTAAAATGGCCCAAGTTTCCAAGTAGTGAGTTATACTTTGTTTGTCAGAAATTCCTGCTTATGAGATGCTCCTACAACCAGTGCTCTACATCTTATCAAGTGTTAAGATTTTATAATGAATTAAATTAGATTTGAATCTCCATCAAAATAATTTATCCATACTTCAATTATCATCCAGTAGAATAGGGCAGGGGATTCTTAGAGATGAAGTTCTTCTGTCTAGACTATTTCCTCTGATGTGGATCTTTTTTTAAGTTTTGCTTTGTTCTTTGATTAGTGCACAACTGCACGCCATTTAGACGGTATCACAGTGCCACAAAGCTTTGTTTTGGAGCAACAACTCATGCCTGGAAGTTGTAATTTGTGACAAATCATTTCAAATTAGATGCTATTTGGCCAGTACCACACTATCGAAAAACCCCATGTTTTTTGCAAGACAAAATTGTCTAGACATTGTTGTTCTGTTGAGTATCATAGCTTTTTATTCTTAGTCGACTGCCTCAGTTCCATGTCAGTTACCACTAAAATGTATCCCATTCTCTTTTTTCATTCAAGAAATAAATAATCATGACCCAAGGTTGTATAAAGTTTCACAAGTAGATTTATAATCAAATCGCACAATAAATTCTTAGTTCCACCTGCACTGCACAATTCAAACCACACGTGTAAAGGACTTCACCCTTACTACCGGATAAATATTGAGTTACCCGATAATACAAACATAAATTACCCAATGAATCACATATACAAGAAGGCTAAAGTCTAACCTGCAGGAAGTCCCAACAAAGCTCTCCCTACGGCTTTAAAATACTGTTCAATAAAAAAATTAAGTAATTATAATAAATTAATAAACCTAAACGTAAATAAACGAATTAATCAGAAATTGTGAATAATGTAAATATAACTTACAGAAATTTTATCTGAATTGTGCCGAAACAGACTGTACAGCAGGCTCACAACTGAAGCTTCAACAATCTGATAGAAATAAAAGAAACAAAAAAATAACAGTAACAAAAATATGCAACAAGCTATGTAATGCAATAAAAAAATGGGAATTGAAGAAAATACAATGATTACCCAGGTTAGACATAGAGTTTCTGCTGAATTTGAAAGGAGATTTATCGAATAGAAATTTTGAGCTGCCCAGAAAGCTGAAGCTAAACCAAGCCCACAAATCAGGTGCAACACAAATACCTTTGCTGGTGATATACATAAATCTGGGTCGTTTTTGTTTAAATTTCGCTGCCTTTTCTTTTCCTTCTCCATTCAGTTTTCTTCAAACCAACCACTTTGAGTTTGAATTGATTAAGACTGTTTTTGTTTGTTGAAAAAATTCCCCGCCCCAAAATGAACTTTTTAAAAATGAATTGTATAATACTGATTTTTTTGGATGGTATCGTTAAAAAATAGGAAAAAATTGGTTGAAAGTGAATTTGAAGGGGGAAAAAAAAAAGAGTTTTTTGAAAATGGGATGCAAACCGGACTAGATAAATAATCATTTTTTTTTAATCTTTGATTATATCTCATTCATCAAAAATGAAAATTTACTGATTAATCCCTCAATTTTATACAACATTATCCTTTCATCGTCCATCTCAATTCTCGTAACTCGTTCGTCCACCTGGACAACAAATTTCCCATGACGGATGGAAATCTTACATAGTAATAAACAATGCCAAACTTAAAAGTTAATTAAATGAATAATCACCAATATTTATGTTTGGTTACTACCGACTCACTCAAAATAAAAGGTTATTGATTGCTTCACTTTGACAAAATGTTAAACATAAACAATATCTATCGCCGATATTTTAAGTTAGGGGACATAATCAAATTTGCCAAAAAAGTTGTGAAAAGATCAAGTTACAATTTGAAACATTAATTGTGGATTCCATGGTAGAATTAGTGATTTATATATTAAAATGGGAAAGTTACAATTTGAAACATTAATAGTGGATTTCATGGTAGAATTAGTGATTTATATATTAAAATGGGAAAGTTAAACTAAAATGGGAAAGTTAAACTGCAACCAAAATGACTATTCCCAAACGAGTTAGGTTATTCTGGCAACAAAGATAGCCAGGCGATTCATTTTTTTTTCACCCAAGTTCGATCCAGAATTGTACTCCTCAAGATAACATTTTCCACGGTAATTTCTGCTCAACAAGAAGACTCCTTAGCAGATTCAACTTTTATTTTATTTTTATTTTTTGGAAAAGAGTTGGAACAAATTTTAATACGTATATTAACATCAATACAGAAATACACTTCATATCCGATTTATTGCTTTAGTAGTAAACACTAACTAATAATCTAAAACTTTGTTAAATGTTCAACAACAAAATAAAGAAACAAAAAGATAATAAAAAAATGATCAAATGTCTTCTACCATTGAACTCGAAAAATATAAGCGTTTCTCAAAATTTTGGTCATTGACATAACATGGAATAATAGATTATTACCTATGCAACCTTATGGTTGAGACCGCTCAGCTCTGCATTCACTCTCTGGTATTCCATTATGTCAAACAAAAAGTAAAAATTTATTTTATCATAAAAAATAGGAAAATAAATTTAAAAAAAAATGTAGAAAAAACATTAAACTGGAGAAATTTGTAAAAGAAAATCAAACAAATTCTCAGAAGAAACAGTAATGAAAATGAATAAATAATATAATATAATATAATTAAGATAGTTAAGGAACATGAGCAATAGGTGGTGCACACAAAAGGGTTCGACCCCTCGTCAAATCCCTTGACTCAACCCTTTAAGGGTGATGAAGAAAATGAAGAAGATGATATACCACCTATTTCGAGTCCTCCTCATGACATACCGGGCTCCAATGCTCCTTGTCCCGTGGGTGGTGGCTTCACATTTACCGAGGATCAGTGTGGTCCCTAAATGGAAGCACTGATTCTCTCACCTCTTCGGTAGAGGGCCTCGACAATCTACTTCATCAGATTCAAGCATAGTAGAATGATATACGCGCCCGACACGCAAAGATGCAAGCACAACAGAACGCCTTCTTTGTCAACTTCTACGCTCGCTTCCCTCTACAGTGTATTATGCTATTGTTCAATGCTCGATGTTTTTCCTTTCATTCTTATCATTGAATTCCTTACGTCTCTTTTCCCGCATTTATTTTCGTTTATGCCAAAAGGGAGAAGATTAGTTAAATGATTATGCATGATAGGGAAAATGTTAAAAAGGGAAACATGTAAATTATTGATGATAGGGGGAATATAAATGAAAACAATAGGGGGAAATATATGTATGAAAATTAAAGTCAACTCCTTGTCAATTTGTTCAATTCCTTATCATATTGCTATACTGCAAATCATCTTGCTTGTCATAATCAAAAAGGAGGAAAATTGTTGACATATAGTTGACTTCTTGTTTTGATTATCAAAAACAAATTTGCGTTTATTTCTAACAAATTGAATTCGAGCGTTTTTGTAAAATTAATACAAATAAAGACATGAAAATCAAGATCAAGAGACGTGCAATTGACGATCAACGCGAAAACAAAATTGGCAATTGATGGACAAAAAAAAAAGCACTTAAGTCAAAGTACTTTGAAGAAAAATCAAACATTAAATACTGGGACATTAGACGTAGATGATCTGAATTTATATATAAAAGTAAAACACTTTAATTTTTAGTGTTGAATCGACAATAGTACAAAAAGAATTTTAATGCATAAGAAAGATTCATGTCATACAAACGATTGCATAAAAATTATTTTCAAAAGACAAGGATTTCAACTCGGCAATCAAATTCTTACAAAATCACTTGTCTTGAAAAATTAAGTGAAAAGATCCTTCAAAGCCTACATTGAACAAAATTATCACGAGGGGAAAGCGTCTGAATACATTTTGTCCATTCGGACAACCGGAGACTCCAATGGTAAAAAAATTGACCGTTCTGTATCTGACGCGTAACAGCTACTTGTGCACTATCCGGTTTAGATCGTGATGTTCGGATGACTCATCCAGATCAACAGATTTTCTAGCGTCTTGACTACAATAAATGCACTTCACTTCTTCATGTACAACAACTTTTTAGGAGTATTGAAGTGAAGCAATTTTTTGAGTGAATCGAATCGTTGAAAATCACTTTTCTTATAAAAGTTTTTCTACTCTAACATTACTCAAACATTTGAGCTATATTCATTGCTATCTATTAAAGTGTTAGCTTATTTCTCTTTTGGTACTTAATTTTGATTGTATCATTTATTAAGAAAGAAGTTTCATTTGTAAAATTCTGATGAACACCAAAATAAGCGATATTCACAAGATCAAGAGCACCCCCTCGAGTAAAAGCTTCCACAGCCGACATGACGAGGTCCTGTAAAGTTCAATGTTGTAAAAGGGTTGATGCTCATTGTTTGTGAGTCAACGAAAGTAATGTAGAAAGTTGGATTGCATCATAAGTCAATCAAATTAATGAAAAGGCTTTGCTCATACCGAAGAGTTTGATAATGGAGGATATGGATCATTGCGTTGGGTCAAACCTCCACAATTAAATCGTTTGCATTATCTCTCTCTTCTATTTACCATTTTTATATTGTTATCATTAACTCTCCTTATTTGATTTCATATTTCTGTGTATCTATTTTGTTGCTACGTTTACTAGTACATTACTTTTAGATCTGAATTCATTTTCGGGAAAAAAAAAATGATCTAAAAATCAATTCACCCCCTCTTGATAAGCTATTTTTGAACTTTCACTATTCTTAAATGATTCTCATAACAAACTACATTGCCGTAATATCAGACCTTCCAAAATCCTCAAGAAAATCAACAACAATGCATATGTCGTTGATTTACATCTCACCTTCATCGAAACATTTTTAATTGATGTAGTAGAATGAAGAATATATTTCACAGAACATACAACGCGCGTTTTCTTGACTTCAATATAAAACAATATTAATTGACTATAAAGAAGATCAAAGAAATCCTAAAGTCGTAATCCAAAATTGAAAAAATACGTCAGTAGAATAATCTTCCGATGCAACTGTTTCAAAGGCATCTGAATCCGAATGATACCGCAAAAGTTTCTTAGAATATATTCATCAGCAACACAATTTGGAAATCCGAAAGTCAGGGCCATTCACACTAATTTTCTAAAGAAACCTATATTCAGTACTGGCGTTCTTTACAACTTCTTAGAGACATTTCAAGCATCCTATAACGATGAAACTACTAAGAAAGAAGAAAGAATATAGTTAGAATTAAGAAGAATAAACGAATAAAAGAATCGAGTCAAAATCTTCTCCCTATTTCCATATCAACTTCTCCCTCCCTCCCTCCCCAACTTCCATCTGAACTCCACATTTTCGAGTAATAAGTTTCCGCAGTTGCTTGAAAGTTCACAATAGTGGAGAAATAGACTCCTGCACGGATTCGCACCTTCAAATAATTAAGTAATAATCGACTTCTTTGTTTGCATTTTGAGGTCTCCAATGCTCATTCTTGATTCTTCGCTTCTGTGGTATTCTAATCTACACAACCCCAAAGGTTCTTCTTCCTTCCTTTGCATACACGTTAATTGACGAATTAACTCATCCAAAGCTTCCTTCATCCACCAATGCGCACATACTTCTTTGGCTTCGTTTACCGTCATCTGTGAAATGGAATTCGATAAAACATCAAGACTCGTTTGGCATAACACAATCGCATAGAAAAGAATTGTATCAGAATATGTAGAGTAAAAACATACCCAAATTCGTTGACGGACTTCTTTCTCGGGCCAAACATCGAGTTCCTCGGTTACAAGCAAGGGAAACATGGATCCCTCATGAAACTTTTCTTGGCTTCTGCTCTTAAAAATCCATTCCCCTAATTTTTCCTGCAAAAAGAATGCAAGTAAACAATATTAGAGAACAATTTAACACGATTAAACGAAAAAAAAGGGCTCAAGCTATTTAAGGAACAAAAATACTAACCCCAAGCAAGCCAATTACACCAGCTTCCTCCAAGGTCTCTCTTGAAGCTGCCAATTGAATATCCTCATCAATTTCCCAACCACCCTGATATTCCATTGCAAAAAAAAACAATATTAACCACAATTTTATTTAAAAGAAAAATAATATCAAGGATTTTTAATAATTCCACTACAAACTTGTAATAAAATACCTTAGGGAACATCATTTTTGAACTCTTTTGGGAACTGATCAAAAGAACTTCTAATTCTTCTTGGGATTTGTTGGTTTTCCGATATCTATATGGAATGCATCTGCACAATTTGGAATTAAAACGAAAAAGTTAGGCTCAAATTCAATAAATGCAAAAATAAACTTCATCTTTACGATATGAAAAATTTTAGATCCACTTTTCATCAAAGTAAACTAAAACCCAGATGAAAAATATCATGAATAAAAGAATATAAACCAGACCGTATGAGAAATTTACCAAAAAAATAAAAATAAAAAAATGAATATTTCTCATTAAATTAATAACCCAAAAAACTCACGATTCAGAATAAAAAAAGGGATTTAAGATTCATACCCAACAACTTGACGATATCCCTGATTGTAGCGTTGCAAATCTCTCCCAGAACGAGAGGGCAAAGACACCAGTTTCTTGATTTGCATGGTAGATGAAAGGTTTTTCTCCAAAAAACACATAGAGAATAGAAATGAAGAAATCCCAATTAATAAAAAGCCACTACTTCTGTTAAAAAAATAGTTAATATAGCAAAAAACTGGGCAATGGCGAGAGAATCTTTCAAATAAGGTATAATCTCAGTCTAAAAATAATTGGGTTGCAACAGAATCGAATTAGTTAAAACTTCCTGAGAAGAGGATTTTGAGTTTGTTGAGATTATTGTGGTTGTTAATATAGAGGGAGAAGAAGGTGGGCAAGGCATTTGCGATGAAATTGGAGTTGATTGGGACGCGTTTGGCTGACGTTGACATCGACTCACGTGTGACACGGCGTGGGGATTTAGATAATAACCACTTGATACGGATGGATTGCCCACTTGGTCATGTTTTTAATGGAAATTTGCATGATTTTTCCTCAATTATGGGTGGTTTTCACATTATACATGTACAATTCCATAAAAAGTTATATTCATATATTTATTATTTTTACTAATTTCAATTTTTAATTACCTCAACAACTTTCAAAAAATAATATTAGTATTTCAAAAATATTACGTTATCATTTATCCAATATATAAAACGTGCAAAATAGAGGCTTACGACAAGTCGAGCTCCTATTTGACAACCATTATAACGATAAATTTGGATACAAAATGTATTTTGAAATAGTATTTTTTGGAAGAATATGTGGTTAAAAAATAAGGAAAAACTTTTTATTTATGTGTAATAATATTTTATTGAAAAATGTGTAGGTAAAAGAAGAGAAAAATATATTGAAATTTTAAAGGGAATCAAACAATGGCTAAATTAAATGGGACTTGTTTGTACGTTTTGAAATAATTTGAAACTTTGACTGTAGTTATTTCTTATCATTTTTTTTTTTGGTTTATTTAATTTAATGGAATGAATGATATAGAAGATTAGTGAAATGTTTGTTGATTATGAGGGTGAAATGTTGAAATTGAAACGATAAAGACGATTTGCATAAAAATATGTGAATGATAGAGGTGATTCGTGTCAATTAACCTATATTTTATGGTGATTACAATTTTGTGCTGAAAATTTCCCAAATACTGCAAATGGACTTTTTGTACTCTCCATTCGAATTGGATCTTTGTACATCTCCATAATTAAAAAAATTCTTTTCTAACGCGTGCTCAACCTAGAGTATGTTTGACATAATTGGATCTTTTTTGCCCCCCCGGAGTATAACCCTGTAGTATAAAAGACAGGAATGAGGTAATCTCGACCTTGTTGACAATCGCAGTGTGAGGATTCGATTCCTGAAATGTGGAATTAGACTCTTTGTGGGCACTAGCGTACGTGCAAGCTCTTATTCTCTAATCTGTTGGGACACATCCTGCGATTTACCTCCCTCACTATACTTCAAGGATGGGACAGTGAGATCCTTCAAGGTTGAGGTTCAACCCTTTTGACATAATTGGATCTTTGCATGGCTTACTTTATTATTTTTGGAGTTAATTATTATAGTACTTGTTAACCATCATAGGAAAGCATCTACTGACGTTTAGACCCATTTGTGTTGTCTTCAACTCAATTTGTAGTCCACAATTCCATGGAGTAGGTTTCATTTTTTCTTTTATTTTTTTATTTTTACAATCCATCACATAAAAAATAAGAGGGCACGGGTGTCAAATAATAAAGACGGAGAATACACACTTTGTACATAAATTGACGAAAATGATCTGAACGATGCGAGTACATCTTTGACCTTCACTCCATATGAGATGCATGTACAAGTTTAATGGACAAATTGGGCCGAATTCATATGAAAAATGATTATTTCCGCACAAAGACTAGTAGAGGAGAATGTTGCCAAAAGAATTGAATAGCAACTAGTTTGTCAAAATCCATTTTATGGTTAAGTAGCTAAACTGCTGAAGAGATGACACATTTATTTTTTATTTAATTTGTGCATTTAAAACACTATCGTAGTATTCGAATATGTATACTATAACTTTCAATCGGAAAGAAGCAAAATAAAGACTCGCTAAATTTCTCGTAAATTTAAAAAAAAAAAAAAAAAAGGGTTTGCATTGTATACATGTCCAATGCTTTATTTTTGCCCTAATTGATTATGAAACCGAAGTAGAGCATGGTGCTTGTACATTGACTTGAGATATTTTCTCTGTCTCTTTTACGCTCGAGAGGGGTGATAGCTTAATCCTGTCGATTCATTATCCAATATTATGAAAAATCTTCAGAACCACAAGTTGGATGATGCACAGGCCACAATTCTAAACAAGTTGAAAAGTTGGACTGAGAAGTAAATTTATCATATATTAAGGGACCAAATTACAATATACATATGTTCAACAAACTTGCTGTTTGGGTTGGTTTATTCAAAGTCAAACACACTTATAAATCCTGGCACTCGATGCACAACCGGCTCAAACACGTTTATTATTACTAGTAAGTTCATGAATTTGGTGCGGAACCGTGCACAAAGGCGCGTATTCGCATTTACTCCATTTATTATTAGTATAGAATATTAAGTTGAATTTACTACAAATAAAGTTGAAATAGTACATTATTTTCTTTTTTATCCATCCATAATAAACAACCATACATGTAACAGTAATAATTAATTTTTGTTATCAATAGAGTGGATAGCGCCTCGACCAAAGGGTAGCTTGTTTCCTTCCTTTGCTAGATGTTTACATGTAGTGCCTCTACATGACCTCCTTTGATTGCTTCGGATACGGGGCGTAACACTTCCTAATGTCAACAAAATTAAATTGCAATACATTTTATTCCATCTTTTAATCTCTTTGTCTTATTTGGGAATATTAGAACCCATTAATTGGTTAAGAAAAAACGAGATTCTGTCAAACTTCAATTAATAGTATATACAAGTTTTTTCTACCACTTTTAAATTTCCAAGGGACAGGCTAAATAAAAATACTTAATAAGGGAACCAAAATAGAATTTGGATTCCTATTAAATAATATACAACTCATGTTTAAATAATGAAAAGGGAAAATTGAAGTAGTGGTCCTCTAATCTTTTCATTTTTTGTAAACTTTACCCTAATCTTTATTGGTGTCAACGGAGGATCTTAACCTTTCTTAAATATGTACTTAAAGTCCATCTGGACGGAAACCGTCCAAAACACCGTCAATTGATCGAAAAAATTAAGGAATCAACATCCAATAAAACCGTCCGAAACACCATCCAAAAATACCGTCCAAAAAGGTATTAACATTCAATAAAATCGTCGTAGTAACATATAGTTCAAGAAATTTTTTCGGTCAGTTGACGGTGTTTTGGATGGTTTCCATCCAGATAGACCTTAGGTGCATATTTATGAAAGATTAGGAATTTTCGCTGGTACAACAGTTAGAGTAAAATTTGCAAAAAATGAAAAAGGTTAGAAACCCTGCTGCAATTTCCCCAAATGAAAATGGCCTGTCATCAAAGTGCATCTTTAATATTTTAGAGATTGTGATTGTCTTGTCATGATTGATCTAATTTTATTCTTCACATCAATTAATTCCACATATTAAAAAATCAGGCATAGATTGCGCTAATAAATTGAACGCATTACTTAAGAGCGGCCGAGGATTTTTATTTTTAACCACTGGCTTAGGGACATGAAAGAAATGGGTTAATGTATTAATTTATGTAAATTTACATAAATTGTGATTTAGCTCCTATTTGGTCTCCATTAAATTTTATTACATTACATTTCATTTTTCTCTTTCCTATTTTTCAACCATACAATCTTTCATAAAATAATATTACACGTAAATCGAAATCTTTTCTTTCTTTTTCAATCACTCATTTTTCAAAAAATATTATTCCACCCATTTTCATTTCTAGAAAATGGGGGCCAAACGGGGGCCTAATTGATAGATTATAAAAATAATAATTTTGAAATTCCTAGCAAGAACTTCGAACTAGACCTAAACCACTTAGATGTCATATTGAGATTTGAGATTTCAATTTGAAATATCAATATTGTCGAGGATATTAGCTCATGACTTTATATGTTTGTCATTGAGAAACTCTTTAATCCATGAGAGATGCATTAAGCATTTGTTCGGATGATATTTTTTTAAATAAAAAATAATTTTTTGAAAATTATTGGTTCTATAGAATTTGTGATTAAAAATAATTTTCAAAAAAATTCTTCCAAACAAACCTAAACTTTCGAGAAAAAGAAGAGCAATGGACCAACTCAACCTCTTCTAGTTGGTTAAGAATTTTTATTTCCTCGATTATAGTTATGGTTCAAAGATTGGCACCTTCACCTAAAAAAAATAAATAGTGGTCCTCCTAAACCCCTCAAGTTCAACCGTGCAAATGAATGGAAAGCGACACGACATTTAAAAAGCAAGTTGGATAAAGACGACAGATAATTGGTTTTTGGAATCAGATTATGATAGGATTCCCTCTGATGTGACCTAATTAAGTGGAGGGAAAATGTGGGCCTTGAAATAATTTAAGTGTTGGCTGAATTTGGTTCAGTGGCCACTTGTAACATAACATCAACCAACTTGGTATAAATATTATTCGCTTTGAGCGTAATTTGTACGCTTTTACTTTTGAACTTTTACGCAGAAAATCTTATAATCCGTTTGATTGTAAACATAAAATTTAGATGGAAAGAAAATGAATTTTAAAAAATTAAATTGTTTAGAACTTATTTTACTGGTAATTTTTAATTAAATGTATTTGATTGGTATATTTTCACTTTAAAAATATTGAAATTTTGAATCTTTTTGTATTCATTTAACTTTACTTTTCATGAAAATTGTAATTAAATGGATAAAATTTGTTACAATTGTGGATAGAATTTGTTTCCACTGTAAAAAAAAAAAAAAGTAAAAAATATATATAAGAAAAAAACACGGAAAACCCAATTCCCACCAAACTAAAGAAAATTGAACTCCTTAAAAACCAAGAAAATTGGTCATATGAGGTGAGAATTGAAAAACCAATTCCATGGAAATTTTCAACAATCAAACATGCACTTTTGGCTGGAAATGAAAAATGTTTTCCATTTTCCATGAAAAACCAAGCCTATCAAACAGGCCCTTATATTAATGGAGAGTAATCTTTCACGTTTAAATCAATCTTATTTTTCTTCCTCAAATAACAAGGGATTGTGACTGCTAGTGCTACATTGCCAGGGGTTTCATCTTCAAACGTTTATCTTGTTAAGAAAATTAGTATGAATCCTTATACATT